AATTTTTATCAGAAAAATTGGGGGGATGCACGATTTTTGGAAGAAGCTAACGGCACTAACATTCAATTTTCACCGCTATAAAAAAAACTTTCCTTGTTTTTTACAAGTGTAACACTTAGTAGTTGAACCGCTATGGGTCCGTTAGCTAGCAGACGCCACACATGAGCTGAGTTTGTCTTACGTGTCTTTTGCCTAAAATATCTAACGCAGTCTCCTCCTTGTCTACACATACGTAATCAGGCTAATGTTGAAACATAGTGACTCGAAGACATAAATTTTCCATTATTTTTTCGTTGAACACTTCATGCCTCACGGCATTTTGAAATCTTAATTGCAAGTATCACACCTTGCTGCGAGGTCTATCCTGCTAGAGATCTCTGGTGTCAGTTCGTCGCGAACCTTGATCGAGAAATAACAGTAATAGCCTTGAAAAGTACCCATGTACGGTAAAAATAAAAAAGGCAGATTTTTGAAAACAAAATAAATGCAATCAGTAAAACTTATTAGATGCCAGAATTTAGATTAGAGTTTAGATTTCTCCCGACTTTAGGAAATGAAATATTCTTCATATTCATAAAAAAGGTGGCTGTGCCGTGAAATCTCATATTTTGCATTCATTTTTTGTTTAGTTTAAATTGGATTTAAAATAAAAAGAATAAACAAATGACTAAAAGACGGACGGACGGACGGACGGACGGACAGACAGATAAATTGAGGGATGGATGAAGCAAACAAACACAACGTGGAAAGGCGGGCAACAAAGCGTAAGAAAATAAGAAAAAGATAATAAATAGACAAACGAGGCGGACATTTCCGTTTCAGCAAGTTCCTCCGTCTAAATACCTCGGCGCACTTCATCATTCATTTGAAATTCTCGTTTATCAAGCTACAGGTACGCTTAGATTAATTATACTTCGACCACCCAACACAGTAAATACAGTGCAGCTTCACTAACAAATGACGTCATCGGAGATACAAATGACGTATACATTGACGTCAGATTAGCGTACGTACTATAATACTGTATAAATATCGAACTATCTTTTTAGCATCCTTTTATTTTTTTCACTTATTGTTTGTTCTTTTCTTCGTTTCATTTTTCCTTTTTTTTTCATTCGTTCGTCCCTTGGTTTGGATTACAAGAGAGGACTGGTATCGAATTAACTCGTCGCATGGCATTGTGGGTCAACAAAATGGCGGAGGTTTCAAATATGTATAGCTTAATTTTGTAGTGGTAAAACGAATCGACTCCTCGTCCCACTGACCTACTTCGTAAAGAGAACAAATGGAGACCGCCTTCATTAGTGTGCTATATTTGATGACAATCAGAACTATTTACCTAACGTGCGAATCATTTTTTTTTCATTAGTTGAATGGCATGTGCTGATACAGCACTGTCCTTCACTGCGGCGTAGTTAAGGTTTTCTTCCCTCCTTATTGAAAACCTAACAAGCTAATTCCAATTCGATCTGTGAGTAAGCCGTGCCTTGACACTGATCAGCCCACACGGGCCGAGCGAGGGTAACGATCAGTAAAACTTTGAATTATAAGGTTAAATGATGAGACTAGAATAAATATTGTGTGTGTGGAGCGAACATAATCGAAGACTCTCTTACGGGATTGATTGCTGTAAAATATTATTCCTTTTCAGTTGTACACGCTTTTATTTGTCCGGGGCCACTCAAGTCGTGGAAAAAGCCACCAATGACAAATAGCTGGTTGATATTATTCTCAAATACGGACGGTCCGGCAATAAAATCGCGGAAAAGATTATTTTGATGGCAACAGATGTTGATATTAATGGCAGTTGATTGAAGTATCAGTGATAGCAATTAGCTTTAGGACGTTTTCCAAACACGTTTGACGTATTTTCTTTTTCACTTGTTTGATTAAATTTTATTCTTAAGTTGGTTTCTATGGGGATTTCATTCTTTACTAAAAGTGTAAAGAAAGAAGGACAATAAAGGGTGGGGGAAGTTCCCCGTTAAGAGCAAAAATAAATATCTGATTTAAATTATTAAACAACGCCGTTAAAACAAAAAGTCAAGCCACGAAAAAGGACAAAGAACCTGTGATAGCAACCACGACAACGCAATTATTTAGCAATTGAATATAGAGAAATAAAACGTCCCAAAATTGAATAAATTGCCAACAAATTACTTGAAATATATGCCCAAAAATAAATCTCACAAGGTAGACTTAGGAGACTCCTTAGAGAACAACTTTGATTGCAATGTTGTTGATGTTAAATAATAAGCATATATTAAGGGGCTTTGTTGTGCAAATCAATAAGGCTTGCTTGAATATATTTGAAAAGCTTCAAAATGAGTATCGTGGAAAAGTTAACCGTGACATAAGATGTCAATATTTCAAGTTTTTGTGAGTGAAAGGTCTCAAATTTTGTGAGTCAGCAAGGGATTTGTGTCAGTACTTTGTATTCCAATTTACTCTGAGAATCGGACTTTCTACAGTTCCTCTACATGGTCTAGCTACCTACTATAAAGTAAAATATATACAAAAATTGAAGGTACACGATTGAAATTTATTTGGCAAAGTTCACATGTAGATGAAGAAAAGATCCTAAAGAATATGATACTTCCTTTCTATTTTTAATGTACGTTTTCGAAGGAAAGTTTGTGCTGTTCTTAGCATATGATATTTGTAGCAATTGGGTGCAAAAACTACCATTTTCTACTAAGATACGAACAAATAAAAAAAAAAAAAGGTTAAACCAAAAATCAAAATCAAAATGAATAATAATAGATCTTAAAGGTCTTTTCACCATTGCGTTTTTATATAGTTCCACATGTTAAAAAAAAAAAAAGAAATATCACCAGAACTCATAATTATTTTAAAAATTTCCTAAGCTTAATATTAAAAACCTTGAATTTTTTAAATTAAAATAATGAGCACCGGTTAAAGGAAACAATAGACATCGCAGTTTAATTTAAAGCCTTTCGACATTTAGGCGAGAAGATCAATATTGCAATCACAAAATAATATCAATTTTCCGACTTTTTTGTAAAACATATGAAATAGTTGCATTATCTATATCTCTTATAAAATATTTTAGCACTATAAATCAGTGTTCAATAAATATTTTCCCGCTAAAAATAAATATCGCGGCATGATTGAACTGAAATACTTTTAATTTTAATCTTAAAAGTCGTCGGTAATCTCAAAAAGAATGCATTGGTCTTGCTCAAAATAAACATACCGGCTTCAGAATACGATGAACAGGATTTCAAATGTTGATTTTATCTACGATTTTGAGCAGTCGGAAAGAAAATATGAACGAAACGGTCTCGTTAACGGCTATTAGCTTCGGTAAACGTTGCGAATTTAAGTTTAAACATGAGAATATGAACTATAGTTCATATTTTCTTGGTTTAAAAGTACGGTACGTGATCAAACTATACCCTGATGAACCCACAAAACTACCTACTTATGAAAGCATATATCCCACCCACTACTTATTTCTCTACCGTTTCCTCTTATCGCATTCAAAAAATTTTTTATTACAAGAGCAGAATTCATGGCAGTTTTAAATCACTAAATTCAAGACGATGAATCCGTCAAAGCGGCTTAGCTCAAGCTGGAAGAGAATTAAAGTATTTTAACAAGAAAACATCTTTTTTCTAAATGTATCAGTACTACTTTTACTGAAAATACGATATTCAGGCTTACCTTATATTTTCGATTAAACTTGAATCTTCCTGTCGTTCAGGTCTTGTGACGGTACATTTGGTACAATCTTCGAAAGAACTCAGACTGGCACCGTTGACAAGAATAATCTACCGTCCAAATCTTTGGGTTTTTCTCATGTGGGCTACAAAGTCCAGGTTGATAATGCCTTTAATAAAGAGAAAAGGCAAGATCTAAAACCTGATAGATGTTTGATCAAAACTATATATGATGAACTGAGTAAACACTGACGTACTGCTTTTTAATCATACTTGAAGACTTCAGCCAATCAGAGAACAGGAGTTCGTTTGCCACAATTCAGATGGTAACTATTATAAAGCGGAGATAAAAAACAGTGATAGGTATATACATAACAGTTATACAAAACTGACTTTCACATCTTTCAAATTTTCTAACGTTTTGTATCATCGTATTATTATTATTCCTTTATTGCACAGCAAAATAAGAATATTACGACTATTTTACTGGTATACATTAACCTTCAGCTCAAGATTCTATTATTATCATTATTATTATTATTTATGTATATGAGAATATATATAAACTATATAGTTACTATCATTTAGTTTTCGTAGTTTCGACTTTTTAATCGTTTTTCCCCTCAGCATTTATGACTCAATTTCAAGTTCAGTTTTCATATTTTTAGCATGTCATCAATCAGATTGTAATATTTATTAATAGACTGATAATGAAACTATCAGAGTCGATTTGGTCTTGATTAGACTAAACTAATAAGAGCATATAAAATTGGAATACTAAATAAAAAAAGTAATTAGGCAATTTTAAAGGCTGTATTTATTTAATATATTTAGTTTAATAGATGGAAGTTGGCACGTATGTTGGAAGGAAATTATTACTATCAGGGTAGTAAGAAGATCCTTCGGGGGCGTATCCAGGGGGGAAATGGGGTTCACAGGGTGCCCGTGACCCCCCCTCTCCCCGTTGATGCAGTGTGTGAAGATTTGTTTAGACTTCACTTAAGCAGTTAAGAAAATTAGTTTTCTCGCTTCTCGGAGCCGTCTTTTCGTTTCGTTTTCCCTCTATCGACCATGATTCTTTTTCGTCAAAACAATAGATTGCTATGACGTCATATTGACGTCATATTGACGTCATATTGACGTCATATGACGTGATAGTTACAATTTGGTATGTAAGGACGACCCAATTAAAAATCCTGGATACACCCCTGTCCTTATAATGTTTTATTTTCAAGGCTCGCGGGAACTATATCGATTACATATTGCAAGAAAGAAGAAAGAAATAACCGGTAAAAATCTCAAGTAGAAGTTAAATTAACGAGAACTGATGACAATAAATAGAAAATAATAAATGCTCATTTCTCAAAATGACGACTCCTCCTCGCATGACTCTCTCAGAGTTCTAGATTTGGGATACTTAGTTGTTATACAAGGTAAAAATAAGGAAGTTTGAATTTGCTTCTAAGGAATGAAGAAATCTAGATCCTAAAGTTCAATCTTCAAATATCACCTGATCAAGACCGTTTTATTTTCAAATATATATTTTTTCACTGTACAGTTTCGGACGAACCCTCGATAAAGCTGTGTAAACAAAAAGGCATAAATGTTCGAATAATTGTTCAAAAAGAAAGTAAAAGCCACGTTTTGAGTAAACACTGAAAATGTATTTACATCTACGTTGCAGTGTTTTAAGATAGTTTAGTTTAGTTCTTAACAAATTGAACTCAATATTATTAGCCTAATTTTTAGACTAGTTAATTACGTTTGACATTCTATACAAGTTTTAGCTAATTATTTCATATATAAAACTTGGACTTCATTTACATACCTGACGAAGACTCACAGTTTTGGAGTCGAAAATTTGTAATATATTTTTCAAGACAACGTTTTATATATTCTATATCTATTTGTTTTATAAAAGTATTTCATACATCTTAATATATATAATTCTACTTGTCTATTTGGCATATTTGTCGGAATTGCCTTAAATGACAATAACTATCCCAGAGATTTGCGAGTTCTTCATTTCAAAGCGTCGGCATTGATAATTTTTTTGGCATCCCTTGCAATTGCGTTCATTCTCGGAAAGAACAAATTTAAGTGACAGGCAGATCGATTCAAGCGAGAACGAAAACCTGTCATAAAACAGAAAGCAGAATATTTTAATTTCTTTAAAACTGTTTGGGGAAAAAGCTAATTACTTTTTTAGCTAAAAAAGTCTTTCAATAAGCCTAAAGCGAGATGACGTTTTACCCCCGTCTCTAGACCATAATCCTTTTCATTGCTTTTGTTCTTTAATTATGACTATTGTTCCTGTATTCTCTAAGGAATCAAAAATTTTAATATGAAAGAATTTTAAAAACTATTATGGTATAGAGTCGGGGCAAATTAATTTCCTCTTGGTCGGGGGTAAAACGTCATCTCGCTTCAGGTTTATTGGTTTTAAAGTCATTAATACTATTTCAGTTATAGTCTTACAGCGAAGACAGACGAAAATTAACTAAATATCAACTGCTGTGCGATGCTATTACAATCGCTTGTCTAAGATCTAGAATTTTCTAAAAAAAGATGTTGGAAAAAGGAAAAAAGCGAGCTAAGTTACATAATAAAGTATTACGTCACACCAAGGCTTCCCAAAGTAAAACGGGCCTCACGGAGAGGCTCACTATACAACTTTTCTACATATATCAATATATTCAAACGCAATCATATGTATAACTGTAGTTTTATTTTGCCTGTTGTAACATATTCTATAAACACTTTGTAAACCTATGCTAGTTTACTTTTTTTCTAAACCTGTAGTAGTTTACGAGTCTGTAAATGATATTGAAGCTAATAAAAATACATAACTATTGATGATATATTGATAAAAATACATATTTCATAATATGCTAAGTAACAATAAAAAGATGTATTAAAAATATAATTTCCATAAACTTTATATATATATATATATATATATTACTAGATTCAGAAAATAATTCAAACGATTTCTATCCTTGTTGGTAAGATACAGCAATGTTCTCATGCTCTGCTCTCTGTTGTTCAGTCGAGGACAACGTTGAAAAGTAAAATTAGCTTGAAAAAAATATAGAAAAATGTCGTCACGTTTCATTCATGTTACGCACAGCCGATAAACACACCATTATCACGTGATAGCATTTGACGGTGTGACCCAACAACCGCAAATCAATCAATACCACGTCTGTTTTGAGTGCGTGACGATTTCTTAAAATAATGCGATACCATGTGACTGTGACACATTCTGATACACTGCAAGATCGTACGCAATGCATCGTCCTATCTACTACGATGCTTTTTCTAACAACATTTCAAAAAGATTGGATGACTTGACCTTGCTCGCCTTGTCTTGCTGACAGTAACGCAAGATACTTTTTATAACGTCACGAACTCTCCAGTCACGCTGTCTTAAAATTTGTTGCACTTTGGAAAACTGGAAGCAAGATAAACACAAAAAAGGTAAATGAGACTATTGGATGGAAATGTTAATATAAATGTATGAGTGGAGAGATGGATAGATGAATGGATGGATGGGCAAATGGATGGAATGAATGTGTGAGTGGGTGTGCGGGAAGATGGATGGAATGGATGGGTGGATAAATGGACAGACAGATGGACAAACAAACGAAGTCGTAGTCAAATGAATAAAATAAATAAAATAATGAATTGTAGATATACCGTCTCTATTCTTGAATCTCCAGATGTACAGTAGACAACCGCTGGACAGCCAACCACGGATGCCGCGACCCACTGAACAACAGCCTCCAATTCAGGATCACTTCCAAGCTCTCCACAGGACCACGATCCTATGGCAATAGGGCGAATCAAGAGAGATTCATCTTCCAGCAGCATCGACGCGTCTGCGATCGCCACACTAGTCTCCAGCAGTTGTTCAGAAAGTACATGCGCAAATTCATTTAAAATGTCTTCCGAGATTGACGTGCGTCTAGTTGTAGTACTAGAATTAATTTCTCCAGATTCGAAATCCTCATATTTTTCTCCGTTTGCTTTTACATTATCATTTTCGTCTAAAATTTCCAGTTCACCGTCAATTTGATCCAAATCTTCCATCAAGCATAAGGCTTCTTGTTCCTCTTCTACTTTCTCTGTTTCATAGCAAATTTCTAAATTCTCCTCATCAAAATGTTTTGGTTCAAATTTCTTAGAGACTTCCAGTAATGCTTCTTGAAAGACTCTGGTTGAGAAATCCTTGGCGTACTCAAAACACAATTCCGACAAAAACCCATTTTGGGGAGAACGGGGTAATTCTTCGGACAATAAAGAGTCTAAATCCACAACATCCAACAGTTTGTCCTGCATTTGGGGGTCAGGATAATCTCCTTCAATGCCATACAATTCAGCCTTTTCTTTCAGTTCTCTTGCTGCTTCTTCATAAGCACTGCCAAGAACTCTCTTAACCATCATATCCGCCATCTCTGCCACACTATCCTGATGATTATTGCTCGAGCTGTCTTCATTATCGGTCAAGTCCAACTCATAAAGCCTGTCTTCTAATTCTTTATCGATGTCTATATCTTCCCAGTGCCCCTCGGCTGACTCTTGCTCACTGTCACTGTCAGTGGACTGGAGCTCATGATTATCACCTCCCTTATTTTTGTCATTATTAGCCTCATTATCATGCTCTTTGTTAGTGTTTTTTCCTTGTGAACTATTTTCAGGGTTGTAATCTCCATCAGACTGGAATCCACTTGAGACAGTTCGTTTGATACTGCTATTTTTACTGTTATCACCATCATCATAATCACCATGACTACCAACATCACCATGACTACCAGCACGATTATCACCATGACTACCACAACGATGATAACCACGACTATCACCATCACCATGACTACCACCATGATAATTAACATTACCACCACCACCACCATCATCATCATCTTCCATGTGTTCCTCATCAATGTCATCACGCACAAGATCTTTACAAATAAATCCTTTGGCCGATTTGACGATGGAATCTGCCAACTGCGATGCGAAGTCCTGAAATAGATTCAACGCGAGTTCGTTCAGACTCCTCCTTCGCGCTTCGTTTTCTTCCTCAGACGTTTCGTCCATGTACAAGTTGGACTCCCCCTCTCCATCGTTTTCCGTCGACAGATCTATCAATCCAAATTCTTCACTTCCATTGGTAAACGATTTCTCACCGAAGTGTAGTTTTGGCGACAAGAAAGATGAAAGAATCAGTTGTCCATTTTTAACGGGGCTTTCTTTTAACGTCTCCAAGGCAACCGAGGTGATTCTTAAGGGCGTTGAGGCTATCGTTGCTATGGATGTTGCTAATGACGACGAAAGCATCACGCACGACATGAGCGACTCCGCAAGCGAATCGGCAAAACTAGTAGTGCCCAGTCTCACCTCCTCACTTAACGGAGTATTCGGAGAAGCGATACCGGAAACTGGGGCCTGGTTACCACTGGAAACGAGACTTTGCCTTGTGGGTGAAGAAGGAGGGGTACCGGGAACTAACGGAAGGTCAGAGTATTGGAAAGCGCGTAACTGCAAACATTTCGGAATCAAAGAAGACTCGATAATCTTTTCTTTGTACTTTTCTTGTTTTTCAGGCGAGTTTTTAAAAACCTCGTGAACCGATTTTTTCATTAAATTCTCGAGCACTTGCCGAGTGTCTTCCGAATGAGTACGAAATCTGACACCAATTTCGCCTTTAGCTTTCGACAAAGCGCAAGAAACAAGGGAATCACAAAATGTATCTATTGCGCTTAGTTGGATGTTACCGTTAATGTCTGTCACTTCATCGTCGATGTACGCTATCCCAGACTCGTCTTCGTTCTCAAAATCATCTCCCTCGTTGTCGCCATCTTTCTCGTCCTCGTAATCTTCTTCTTGTTCTAACATCTCCTTATCCATGTCTTCCTGAAAACCTACAAGAAAATAACAAATATATCAAATATAAACGAAATGTAATCTCCTTGCACAACGTACAGATATTTCTACTACACGATGTAGCCCTTACTTATCAAACGACTTCCAAGGATTCAATCGTGATCAGCTGTTATGAGTGTAGAACTAAAAGACTTTAGTAGTTTATTGAACCCGAAAAAAATTAGAGGTATGATGTTTATGGATTGCGATCTCCTATTTGAACTTTCACTATTCAGGTAACTTTTCATAGATTGCAAACGTTGGTTAACGGAGTGGCTTTCATATCACGAGGGACTTGAAAGTTTAAATGTTTAATTGCTTCAAGTGTTTAAGAAAACAAACCATCAAAACAACGACAACAACATCGAAACGCAGAGAGCGTGAACTCTTACCATTATTGATTCCATCTTTGTCTGTCATTTTGATCAACGCGCATGGCGTTCCTTGGCTATAAAAACACACGAGTGCCTTATTCAGAAGTCTCAGGACGAGTTTCTCCTTGTTCTGCGTATCGTAGTCTTTAATCAAGCTCACAGAAACAACAGCTCTTTGGAGATTACCACAAATGTCGCGCTAGTGCAAACAAGGAGATATAGGTGTTAGTGTTATTAGATCCTGACTTTGATTTAGAGCCTGACCTGTCTGGCTGACGTCAATTCGCTTGAATATCTTTGTAATAATGATATAAAGTGTTTTTTTTTTGGCTTGCATGCCAGCCGCTCACGTGGCCGGCCAAAAAAAAAAAAAAAAAAAAACCATCAAAGTTTAAACGCAGTGGAAAATCGAGTTTTTATGGACGTCAGGGAAAACATTGCAAACAAAATGTTAAAAATGATCCTTTTTTGATTGACAAAATTCAACTTCAATGCGGTTGATTACCAAGTCAGTTTTATTGGGCTGCTGCCTTTTGATCGCAAAGCACAGGCCGCCCAGTTCTGTGCAGCAAAGTCGCAAAAAAATAAAAGCACCATCATTCAATGACATCCTTCAGGTGTCGTGTAATTCAAGATATTTTCCGACTAATTGATCAATAAATTGGGTTTTAAAAGGCCAACATTTGTTAAAACCAGCGCTTCAACCGCTGTTACGTGATCATGTGAGAGTTCGTTGATTCTCTCATTACAGGGTTTTCTTGGGATTCTACGCTGTTAATTCCACCATAAAGATCAACACTTTTTTGCAACTCGCCTATGTTGTAGCTTTCTACCTGCTACCACAAACGTCACAGCAGAGGTTACAAAAGTTTCGAGTGTCACGCATTACGTCACGCTATTCTCTTAAAACTAATTTCCTGTTGTATCATACCTCTGTTGTGTCTTGAAAGACACCGGCAAAGTGGACATCATCCTCGTTACTGCTGCCTAGAGTTGAGAATCTCTCAGCACCCTAGGGTGAAAACATGAAAAGCACTTCATAAGAAACCTACATTAAATATGAGCCTGAAACTAAACTGGGAAGGGAAAAGAGAAGTGAAGCAAAGAAAGGATACACTAGGGAATGAAACGTGCTTTGGAATGGGTAATACACTCTTATGAAGAACAAAGAAGAGCAAAGACCCTCAAACCAGCAACAAGGGATTTAGCAAAGTTCTGCTGTAAAAACGAACGAACCTTGATAAAAAGTGACTCATTTTCTCCAAGTGACTCCATGAACATGGTAGCTACAAGTAGCTCTGGACATGCAGAAAAATTCAACTCTTGCTGTAATGGAAAAAAACAACAAAAATACAAAAAAAAAAACAACAAACAAATCAAATAAAACACTAAAGAATATTTTACATTCTAAATTACTCAAAATGCTTACCTGTCCATGTTTATTTCCTAACAGATTCCCGCCAATAAAACAATTACAAAAATCCACCTAAAGTAGAAAAGAAATCAATTATTAAATTTAAAATTGGGTACCCTGTAGAACATGTATAACACAGGAAGCCCACAGCGATAGGTTTTTACCTGAAGAAAGCTGGGTTCTGAATCGATTATCTTTTTGTGTTGATCAACGATCATGGGACAGAGTCTGTTGTCACAGTTCATCCAGTCAGCAAGAGAAGGTAGTGAAGATTTTTTTACAACCTTGAGAAGACAAGAATAGCATAATGGTGCCAATGATTTAGAAGCCTGTGTTGTATGTTGGTATTGAAGTGGGGTGGAGGGCATGAAGGGAGGAGGGAGGGGCAGGTCCTTCTATTTCACTATCCCTCGACTACTCTCTCCTCCAACCCACTGGGACAGAAGCTGTACTTGTGATGATGATGGTAGTGATGAGGATGATGGTAGTGATGAGGATGATGATAATGATGGTATTGATTTTGATAATGGTAATAACAATGATGATGGTAGTGATGATGATAATGGTAATAACAATGATGATGATGGTGATAAAGTAGTGATAATGATGATGGTAATGACAATGATGATAACAATGGTGTGAGTATTGAGGACGATGATGATGACAGTGATGATGATAATGAAGATGATGACCCAAGTAAAAGCACTACCTAAATATATTTTCTGACATATTAACCCAATGTTTTATAGGTGTATTTCTGTCATTCAATAAATTATTCATATTTGTAGGCTAATGCTATCCTACCTGTCTTTCAAAGATAATCTCTCCTGATAAATAATCAAGATCACTTGAAGCAAGTTTCTCAAAGTAACACAAAAAACTCTGGAGTTTAGCAGCTTGAATGTCCTTCAACTCTGATCTGCAAAAATAAGAATGCCTCCAAATTAAGATTCCTAGATTAATATTTATATTCTAAAAGCAAGCGCAGAACCAGCACCATGTAGAAATGAGAGGACAAAGAACAAAAACAAATACCATACATTGTTCCTCCCACAAACCGTTGGCCCCAGTTGTACAATCAAATTGGAATTTAGAAGTTGATTTTTGTGGAGGGGTAAAACTAGAGAAAAACCCTTGAAGCACAGGAGGGAATGAATTAGAAACTCTACTCAAAAGACACTGGGTCCGTGAATCAAATACATGTCGCCTGGGTACCCTGAACTTCCCTTGAATGCACTATCAAACTTCTCTTAATAAAATAGTTTGAATACCTGTGAAAGTCTGCAAAGATATTATCAAAGTTGATGGTTCTTGTTGCAATGGTTGAGTTATTCTCAGGCAAAGCACAAAGGAATCCTGATGCCAGGATTGATGCAATGAATTTTCTGTCAAGCAGAATACTGCAAGCTGGGAAATTAAATGGAAAGGAAAATGAGATGAGATGAGATGAAATGAAAAAGAAAGTGGAAATGAAAGGAAGTTAGGTAATGAAGAAAGGAGGAAAAAAATAGAATGAAAAAGAAAAAGGGAAGGAAAAGTATTGATGTGTTGAAAGGGAAGGAAAGGAAAGGGAAAATAGAAGAAATGGAATAGAAAATTATAAATTCCATTTTTAAAGTGCTACTACGACGAAAATCGCTCAAACTTGGATTCAGCTGAAACTTCCTAAAAATACTCTTTAAAGGTCCAATAATCACTGTATGAAGTGTTTTCTCGATATTCAGTACGAAAGTATGATATTTTTACGATTATTTTTTAGAGTCTGTGACGTCATACACTCAACATCGAACATCGCTCCATACATTTCTTTGTATATAAATCCTTAATTTATTTTATTCCTATGAAGCTCAAAGGGTGGCTAATGTGCTTATTTCACATTACTTGTGACTATAATTTATATTTTGGGGTGGTTTGGGTATTTCTTTCTCCCTTTACTACTGATATTTTGATCATAAACTACAAAGAAAATTCAAGACCACTCATAATCGTTGACTAGAGAGATTATGCAAATACACATATCAATAACTACCTTGCTTACAAGTCGGGCAAGGCTCAAGTTAATAAAACGAGATTAATGTGCAATTATTTCTATGTGTACACTAGCCGGGATTACAAATAGAGTAAAGCATACAAATTGTAGGAATGATATTCCTATACCTCCAGTATGGCTCAAAGAGACGGTAAATCAGAAAATATAGACGTGATTTATGACAAACAGTTGATCTGATAAAAGGTTACAAACAGAGTCCTAAAAATAGATGAGTGGGTTTGGATCAAGTGGCAGTCTAAACATCATATAAATGAACTGTTAATCGTTTGTGACATATTGAGCATTGCATTTGAATAAATTAAAATCACTTTAAGTTAAAGTTATCACTATTAAAAGGTAAAAAAATTAGACAAAAAAATAAAGTTATTATTAGAATACATAGTTTTCGATACAGAAGGCGCGCTTTCAGTTCTTTATGTAATTGTATTGTTGTGTCAACAATTTGTAAGGTTAAGACGGAATAAAGGGCAAATTAGTTGAATGAATAAACTTACGTTCCTGTTGGCAGGATACTTTGATTCCCTCAACTGGAGCATTTTCATCTAACTTGGAAGCTAAATTTGCAATAAACGGAAGCGTTCTTTCATAAAACTCTTTTCTTTGTGAATCCCCCAAAATATCATCCAGAAATATTTGCAAACCACTAAAAGGAAATTTCGAGTTACTAGCATCGTCTTTTAAACCTGTTGCTTCGTCTAAAGTGTCGTACAAATCTTTTCTATCATGTCCGCCTTCTTGATAAATCTTTTGTAATATTGAAACTAGGGTTTCTGAGTCTTCGATATTTTGTAGGCTTCGATAGAGATCTTGAAGTTTTTTCCATCGTCTGGGGTCCAAATGCGGCAGCTCGACGCGGACCAATTCTTCCTTAAAAACCATATCAAAATAGAAGATTCAGTCATAAAATTCTTCTTCTTTAATCCACTAGCCTTCTAGGTATCGTCTCTATCGATTTCCAAGTGAAACTGGGTCATCTGGACGACAGAAGCGCAACCTCAGCAAACAGAACATCGCTTGACGCTTCTGTTCTGAGGAATGCGGCACGTGCGAACAACATTCCAATGCTCACTGTATCAACCCGATCACCCCACCGTGAAACACGATATCCCTGTAAAATCTAAAAACAAATTTCACTTTATTTGCCACGAAAACCATTTTAGGTGTGAAATTTCTCTCCTAGAACGTTATTTTGTAGCTATAACATTCATGTTATGGTTTTTTGATGATAATGAATTTTTGTACGGATGAAACGCTAACCACAGGGAGCCCAAGCAGCCAGGGACGTCACAGTCAACATAATCTGATTGGCTAAATAATTACTTTCTGAAAATCTGTTGATTTTGAAAATACAAATAAGAAAATATCATTATCATTTTACATTTGACTCTGGAAAGTACTCCATTTTTTACCATTCACATGATATATATGATTCATGCATATATGAATCCTTTTATTTTTGTTAACAATATTAAGAGTGGAACTCCCCCACACTCCATTCAGGAATATACACTGGTAAAAACAGTACACTCAAATGATTTTATTTTAACCCAAAAATATCAAGAATCTATTCAAATTTATTCAAAGTTTAATAATTCACAAACTTTCACACAAATATGTAAGCATTGGATTATAAATCTTCCTTGATATCATACTAAGTTAGTAAGGAAGAATAGAATGGCAAAATAGTTTATACCTTCTCGTAGAAAAATCCTTTTTCATATAATTTCGTCAAGCAGAATATTTTGAAGTAATTAGCTCCAGAAAATATCCATACTTATCTCACAGAGGCTACAAGAATTAATGTTCCAATGTCTAAGAGATTAACAAGAATTGGAAAATATCCTTCCCTTTCCTTGGGAAATCCAACATACTTACCCTCCCCCCCTTAGAAATGGTATCATCCTCCATGGGCCAGGTATGGATATGTATAATTTCTTGAACTATATGCATTTTTGAACAAGTAATTTAATTATCATAATTTTCAAATCCATCTGAGAGTAGAAATATATATTTTTGGTTAATAAAAATATTTCAAATTTAAAATATCAAGTTTAGTTAAGGGCTACGATGTATAAGAATGGTATATCAAATATAATGCATAATGTAATGTGAATTATGCAGTCGCAACAGTTAGACTAAAATATGTGGCTACAGTCACCTTCCAGCGGGAGGTCCAAAAACATCACTGCCTATGTGTTCGCACACTTTTAAGCTGTCACATTTTGATGCAAATCTGGCAAAGAGCCTGTGCATAGAATTATACAAATACATTAGATATAGTCATAGTATTGTGCGTCCCTCTGAAAAAATTTGCTATACTGTACCAATTCTAGCTCAAACAAAAACTGCTCTAAATGGTAAAAAAACTAACTCCTGACATACTGCATAGAACTGCAAAATTATCTAAATCAAAACACAGTTCCAAGAGCTTCAAACCAAGCAAGCAAAGTGTTATCATTAGCGGCCCACACTTTGAATTCTTCAAAAGAAATTTCCCCATTATCATCAAGATCAGCATGTTTAAACACATTCTCGACCATCTCATCTATGGCATCCTGCGACATTGCTTCCATAACGGGCCACATGCCATCTTGGCCACGCTTTGAGGATCCAGGGTTATGGTAATGCTGTGCTGGTTTGCCAGATGTTAGGGGTCCACCATGGTTTGGTATTGGGGCATTAAATACAGCAGACACAGGTTTATCTGCAGCATCATCAAAAGATGCCATCATCTCTTCCTCACAGGATCGCACTACATCTCTCACAAGTTCTAGACTTACGTTAAAATATGCTTTAAACATGTTTCTAAGATTTTCTCTGTTGATGTAACCCTTGCCCTCAATGTCATAACCTTTGAAAGCAAAAGGAATCTTTTCCTGTTGACTTCCTTTGACCAGAATTGAGAGTGCCTGAACAAATTCTTCTAAATCAATGATATTATCACCTCCTTGATCATAAAACTTGAACATTTGCTCCATGACAAGATTCTTGTGCTGCCCCAGGGGACCAAGACACTGGTCAAAAACCTCTCTCGTTATTCCCACGTCTTCTGTCGCTAATGTCTTGAACTGCTCAACCAAGGCCTCAATTTCGATTAGATCAAAGTGTGTGTCGTTTTTAAGCCTCTGGATCTCATCCCATGATAGCTGACAGGGATGACTTTTCTTGCCTTTAAAGGAAGAAAAATAAATTAAAAAAAAAGATAAATAGATAAATAAATAGATAAATAAATAAAGGATTATTAAAGTAATAAATAAAACTCTATGCACTGTGGAAAATGAAAATGAAATGTTAAAAAAACATATGCTGCATAAAATGTTACTGAAATATTTTTTTAAAGATTATCTTAATTTTCATTTCGTTAATTATACAGGAAAAACTACTTCTAATGATAACAAATAATAGTAAATAAAACCAGTACAAAACGAATAGACTAATAAATTATAATTAAAGAAAAAATTGTAACAAAAAAATGGGGTCAGAAATTGAATTTAAAAATGGTGATGACAGAATGAGTAGAGTAATTTGGAGTTGTTTGGGTTGCCCCTTACCTGGGTAGAGCACGGTAGTACATGGAGTCCTCGGGTTTGCTAAAGGAGGAATAGGAATAGGGATTTTTAAAAACACATGGATCTTGTTATGGCAGTCCTGAGTTTCACACCGTTCACAAATGTCATAATCCACGCAGTTTGCACACTTATATCGCACCCCACAGATAGGACTAGCCTGGCAGGTGTTACACGTAATACCACGGTGAATATACCCTTCTTTCTTAGCCTGATCTTCTGCGATGTTGTAGAGAAAGTTGAGGAGGTTTTGACCATCGTCATCTTGTTGCTCGCCGCTTGTCGCGTTACCATGGGAGGTTGTCGTCCTTTCTTCAGCTCTTGGCTCGTCCGGTACACGTCTCATTGGCGTAGCAGCACTCTGGATAGTATGTAGAACTCTTTCTTGAGATAGTCCATCTTGATTTGAGCTCTCTGAGTCGAGACTGTGGCTGGGAATTGTATTTTTTGAGACGACAAGAACTCGACGTTGAAGGTTTGTGACAGCAACAAAAACAGCAACTCCAACAGCCGCACCACAAACAAACTGCGCTAACGAACCCATCTTAACTTGACACCCTACAGCACCCTTACCATACCCAAATACTGACTCTCAACCTTCAACAGGATCCTAGAAGACAAAGTGATCTTTTTTCTTTCTCATTTTTTCGTTGCACTTTTTCAATGTGACGGAATTTTTTTGACGGTGGCGCCAAGAGCCCGTTGTACTTGATGCCAGCTGTTAACACTATGACGCATGCGTAGTTTGTTGTTTAGGTTTTCAAAATGGCGGCCAGTAGTGGAGGGTTAAGAAAAGCTCTTTTTCGATCGCCTCCTACCGTAGAAACACCCTCCAAAAACCCAGGTTTGTATTAAAAAATGAAATCAGGAACCTGATTTTGTCTGTAGGGATGGCAAATGTTAAGTTTAGAAACGTTTTCACGAGAGTACATCTGATCAAAACCCCGACTTCTTCCCAATTTCTTCCCAATTTCTCAGTTCTGAGTTACTTTATGGTTTCAGTTAACTCCCTTTGTTAATTACGTTGTCAGAGTGCTTTTCGTGGGTCTTAGACTCAAATAATTACAGTCATGGCACGTTTTTTTGTGATTGGCTGCCATCTATTAAACCGGGAGTGAGTAAATTTTTGAGTGACATGTATGCGCGCATGGAGGCAAGAACACAGAAGTTTGGAAGACGTGCAGCTCGTAGAAACGTGAAAACCATCCTAATGCAAGTGATTATCATAATCAATTTGTATTGTGAACCTTGCGCGTTATTCATGTGCGAGATTGATCAAACCTTGATTTGAAAACATTGGTGCCAATATGCTTATTATTATATGCTTATTCTTGGTTCTGAGGTTAATTTTCTTTCTATAGAGGCGCTTGAGAGTCTTTTAAACAAGATACAAGTAGACATTGAAGTGGATAATAATCTTAATTCACTTAAACGAGGTAAGAATGGGAATATTGATTCAATTAGTCACCAATTTCTAGTTTAGAAAGGAAGAAAAGTAGGAAGAAAGAATGTAAAAAAATGGTAGAAAGTTCTTTGTTTTTCTCTAACAATAATAATAATTGTTATAACTAGCCTTATATATCTGAGTCTTTTCCTTTCCTTTCAGTAGGAAGGGAAAAGACCATGATTGGGGTTGATCATGTTTGTCTTTGTACAAGAAAATAACAGAGGGGTCCACAACTGTACATTTTTTATCAATCTCTCTTCAGAAATGCATGAGCAAAGAATGGCAAAACTACGGCAAGAGTTGGAACACATCAGTCAGGACCAGTGGAAATACAAACCTATTGATCAACTGATTGGATTCTGATTTCAAATACTTCCATATATTCAATGCAGTTCTGCACGTCAATTCATATACAGTTCAATAGATGATTTCCCTGTTTTCCGCAAGTTGAAAATTCAAGAGGAAAGTGTTTGCACGGGCCTGTCTACAAACACGATACCTTAAGACAATACCACTTTTTATATTGTAGTTTATTTTTATTGATTCTTTTTTGTATTTTCATTTTATATTTTTCAAGTATTTCTTCTCATATGCACTGTGTATAATTATGTATATGGCTATCAAGAGATCAAAATGTACACTTTGATGACATTTGATTGAGAACTTTGTAAATAAAATTATGGAAGACTTATAAAACAATATTTTACTGAATCAAAGGTATTTGTACTGTTATTATTACTGGGGTGTTCGATGTTCTGCAAACTCAGACATTCCAGCAGTTTGTTGTGAAATTGGCTTTTCACTGCCGCCAGTCAAAAACATAAAAGGTACTGACTGATTCATTTTGATTGACGGCAGTGAAAACAGCATGCAACTTGTAACTACCAAGTTTGCAGGGATATTGAAAATTGCAGTAACTGTTTGCTTCTTCTCGATTTAATGTTGATTTCATCTATAGATGGGTTTCATGGCAGCATTCTTGTAGGATAAAACGGAATAATTAATTTTATCTTTTGTGAAATGAAATCTCTTTAAAACATTCATGAAACCTCAATTTTAAATCTGTTGTCTTCAAGACTTAAATATTAAGTATGGATGTGTTTGTAAATCAATATGAATGTAGTGATGACTGATACAACTCCTGACCCCTCCCTCATGGGTTTTCATTTTGTTGTCATGGCAAAATAGAATACTAAGTAAATCAAGATATGGACAGATATCTTAAATCTAATTATACAATAATAGTAGGAGCGCAGCCAGAGCCCTAGTACAGATGGTTCAGAGGTAAAGATGAGGAATAACATAGACTAGTTTTGATATTGAAATGGCGGGGGGGGNGGGGGGGTGTGGGGGTTATGGACATCTCTGGCCACACCCCTGACTTCTCCTGTTCTAAACCTAAACACTACATTCTATTTAAATAATTCCACTAAAGAAATTTTAAAAACTTTCATACCATTTCATTAATAAAAAATATTCTCTCTTCAAAATTTTCTGGCCACTTAATTTTCATACAAAAATATCTACAATCCCATTTCATCGTAAATTGAACTAATTTGAATAATAACTAAGCTAAATAATTGGTGCTCATGTTGCAGAGGGGTTACTTTCTTTAGAATTTTGTACAGAAACCACTTGCATGTGTAAAGGTATGGCCAAGAAAAGATAGTGGATTAAGAATTTTTTTGAAGGGCCTTGACCCTTATTGACACCCAGTATCAGCAATCTTGACCACCCAGCACCTCAAAACATAGATGATAATTGAGATTTCAAACCAAATCTCTAGAACTTGTCTAAGATTGAGATTCTTGGCTGTGATCAATATTTTCTGAAGGCATCCATTATGCTGTTTGAAGCCATTTGAAGTAAAAATCTGGCAATCACATATTTGTGTATCCTTTTTGGTCCTTGATGAAGAGTGTGCAATTTCATTGCAGTAAATGTGTATGTGTACAGTATGTACCAATATGAGTACAACTATTGAATAATTCTCCATACAGTTGACAATGGGTCTTCCTTCGGAGGGGAAACAACTCAAAAGAGGGAAAGTGTCAGGCTACCATTTAGCTCATACTCTTGCTTCTGAGGTAATTTGTTTGCATATGGTCTTTACTAAGGATTACTGTGATGGCACAAGTGGTTCAAGGTAGCTTGCTGGAACCCACCCTTGTTGTTGTGATGCTATATCTCTTGCATACCACCATCCATCGTTGCCGATTTTTAGAACCTCAATAGCTTGTCCTGGTTTAACAGTCATTTCACCTGATTCAATGGCATAGTATTCTGCCAGAGCTGTGTACTTGAAGCCATGTTGCATGAGCTGTCCCTGTTGAGGATGAGCAAATACAAAAAATCATTAGCAAAACTATGATATAAGTATGGAGAGTAATTTAATGTTGAACAGAGGATCTGGACACCCTAGGGATGCACTCTGACTAACTGTCTGTCTTCCTCAAGTGATGTATATACCCATCAATAAATTCTAATCTAGGAGGTCAAAACGACGTTTCTGGCTGAGCAAGTACCTAAGTTTATTAAGGGTCAAAAACGTTTTAAGAAGAGAGAAGTTCACTCTATATTTCCTCAGGCAAGATCGTTTACGACATTAATCAGCACTATTATCGCTGGGAAATTTGCAGTCCAAATCACAGCAAAAATTACTAGTGTAAATGGGCCTCTATATATACACTAGAGTTAGATAATAATATTATAAGTATATTAAGTAGAAACATAAAAGAATGACAGTTCATGAAAACTAGTTGCCCTACCTGTATAAGAAAACAGAAGAGAATCAACAATACATGTACAAGACTAGCCACTGTAAGTTGAGAGTGAAGGACTCTGATATATAGATAGACATGACTAACAATATCAGTATTCATATAGAGACATGCATGAAATCATGGAAGTAACACACAGTGGATGGATGATTTGATTGAATTATAAATGATGGAAGAAAGGAATGGATAAATGGAAATAAGTATGCAAGAAAAGAAGGTAAGATGAAAGGAAATATGGATGTAAGAAAAGGATGGGGAGATGGATGAAAAGAAAAAGGAATGAGAGAAAAAGATGTGGGATGAATAGAAAAAATGAATGAAAGAGTAAATGGAGAAAAAGGATGGAAAATGAACAAAAAAAGATGGATGGAAGGATGGACATGCAGACTGATGGTTAACAAATGCAACAAACAAAAGTTACAAAAAATAACAAACCACTTAGTTAATGCACCCATAAAATGAAGAACACAGTTATTAGGTGTCATGCATTAAAAGTGTATTCAACATAAGACAGAGTAACAAAAATAAAAGCATAAGAGATGTAACAAAAGAATCTCAAAAAGAGCTATAGATTAAATAATACAAAAAACATAAAGAAGAGTGACGAAGAATGAAAATTAGCATTACATAATGTAATAATAATGTAATAATACCATGCAATTAACTACTGATCTCATTAATCTCTTCTTCCCCTCCCTAATCATCTAATAAATACCTACCAAGGGTTGTACTGAGCTTCCTAGAGAAGTGCATTCATCAGGACTTTCATCACTATCAAACTCATCACTGTCAAATCCATCATCATCATAGGTATTACCACTGTGCAAAGATAATTAAAGTATATTTCATTGTTTACAAGTAGAATAAACAACTTTAAAAATTGTGAGAAGAAGGTGGGGGATCCAGTATCTCGTTTAAACTTTAAAAGTATGTGCACATTTACTTTTGATTTCTGTACTAGATCTATAGAAGGGCTAATGGCAAGTGTATACAAGAACCAGGAAAATATTGACCAAAACATCAAAGACCATAACCTTTAGCTTCAAAAAAATTTACCTACATATTTTGATAATAAAAAGTGGAAACCAGACAGAGACTGGATTTAAACTTTTATGGATTGTTAGATTTTATTTCTGATTGAATACCTACTCCCATAAAATATCCCTTATACTGTGTTTGGAAAAGTAAGATGTACAAACCTCTCCTGATCCAGTGATGTTACTGATAAGGTCTTTGAGTGCAAATTATTTTGGTTTTCTTGTCCAAGGGTAGGTGTTGAATTCCATTTTCCTAATTCTAAAACAGAGAAAAACACTTTAAATTTTTAGATGCAGATAGATATAAAGCCTTAGAGAGATTTTGCGCAAGGTAGAAATTAACAATGCTGGTGGTTTGGTTTTCAGTTTTCAGGAGCGTACCCAAGGATTTAGGGCCCCTAATAAATAAATGATGATCAGATAATTGAGATAAATTTACTGAGTTAAAAGATCGTGTTCTTAAATGGATGAAGAAAAAGACATGATATTTCAGTCATACCTTGGCTTTTGAACTTCTGTTCAGCTGTGAAAAGGAATGAGGTAAAAAATAATATTAACAAAATAATAATTAGTATTTCTTATACTGCTGTTTTTGAGGAAGAATGGGAAGCTGAAGGATATATCAAGGATTGATTGATTGATTCTACCTTTGGCTTGGTCAAATTGGCTAAGTAATACATCTCGCAGTTTTGCCACCCATTTTTCTTTTTCCTCTTGGGATACAGCCTGCATATATTAGAAACAAAACTTCTTAGTACTGTATATTAAATGAATTGCAAGGTTTACTTGATGAAATCCATGGCAAGGAAAGGATGCAGAGTGGACCAATAACCAGGCATGAGGCACCCCACAGTCATAATAATTGCATACACAATTATGCAAAGAATAGCACTGGCAATCATAGAGATTTCAATTGTAAATCTTATGTTTACCTGTAGAATAAAGACTTCAGATCTGTTGTTCAGCCATAATTCAAATTTCATAGGGGCGTGCTTGACTGTTTCAGTTATGCCAGTTTCACTTAGCTGTTTGAAAAGGTAAAAGATTTATATTAGAACTATTGCCTCATAATTTAATAAATAATAATACACTAACCCTAAACGATTCATTTTTTAATAATTATCAATAATAATAACTAATGATTTCAAATCACCTTCAAGCTGTTTTTGTACTGGTAACAAACCACATCCTTCCTGCTGAAATCCTCCTCCCTTTTCGAAAAGATAACCATCTTTTCATAGAGAAAAACCTGTCTTGGTCGTCCTCTCAATGGCAGGATTCCTCGTTTATTCACATGCCAAACATTAAAAGAATCTTGCAGGAGCAGTTTGCCAAGTTCTGCCAAGTTACCATGGTAACCTCTGAGGCCTCTAGAGTGCATGACGTCATTTAGGTGACGTAGGACGCTCTGCATTGATTGTAATGCTTCCTGGAATATAATCAAAATATCTCATGAAGTATGTTATTTACAGGCTTTATGAGTACAAGTACTGACATGAATCTACATGTTTGACACTTCTTTGAACTCAGCTTTCCTCTGCAAAAGCTAATACGCTAAATGGTAAGTTGATGTGTCAGTTAGCTGTGCCCTGACTTTGATAAGCTCAGACACTGTTTCAGGGTAATGATAAAATTCGAATACTAATAACAGTGGATAATCCCGCTTACCATCAGACTCACGTACGCATCCCTATTATTTCGAGTATTTTTCATCATTTCTTTCAGTAGTAATTGGTATTTTGTTATTCTCTGTACAGGTTTAAGAAGATAAGCGGAAAGTGGAAGCTTGTGCCCCAGTTTATTTTGCCACTCCTAAGATAAAATAGTAAATAGTGTTTGGGTTAACTTAATAGTGTTGGGAGTGAGAGCACGCCAATTGGACTTTCACACAGATTAGCGGCGCTCGTTTTGTTGTTGTGAGACCTCTTCTCCAGCCAGATTTAGCACACTATATACTTACTTATGCTCTCTTGGTCCAGCGCACATAAAGCGCAAAAAGTGACATGAATTTTTTAAAATCTGGTTTGTGTGTGCTTAATTAGTTTTTGCCAAGGATAGCCAGTCCCTTTCACAGTTCTCTTCGCTGTCTTGAAAACTAGCCGTGTCTTTGAATCGGAGTGACACAAAGGTGAGCTCCAATAATAGAGACCTTTTTTAACACCTTGAACAATTATTCACGTCTCTATCATTGCAAGCTAACCGTTCCTGTCGCTTCGATGCAAAGGCAGGGCCACATTACGAGATGGGAACTATGAAGAGAACTGTTGGGCGCCTCACAGTTTTCATGGAACATGAAATTAACTTTGTTGACGAGGAGACTTAGTTGAGTGGACCAATGACAAGGCATGAGGCACTCCAACAACGCAAAAATAGTAATAGGTGAAACGAGAATCCAAAGTAATAAAGAAACAACCCGTAAATGATCAAATAGTTTTTCCTCACTTTAACAATCGGCAGATTAACAAAGTCTTGTTGCAGCGCTTCTGAAGCAGGTTTGTTCTTGCAATATACGGCATACATATCAAAATCGTCTCTTTTTTCGTGGAACACCTCGCCAACAAGAAGCGGATCGTCCACACACTTTTCCAACTCCTTCAAAAACTCCTCATTATGAAACTCATAAATTTGTTCAACGTTTCCAAATATAATATTCTTTTTGTCGTAAAGATTTGGTGGTATTTTATCACTGGCTTTTTCGAATTCCCTGATGTAACCGCGAATGATGCATCGTAGATCCTCCACGTAATCCCGCTCAGTTGCTACCAGTTCCATCATTATCTGCATTCGTTTTTTGATAATCTCTGTAGTATCTTCGCCGTCCACGGCATCCTGAAGACAAATAATGAAGATTCTTAGTAATATTCTCCGCCTGTTTTGAATAAGCTGTCGATGTTGAGGATCATTAATGGCTTGCCAAATTTTGAGTACAGCTTTATCGAAATTCATCATGTAAAAAATGGTAGTTATGGCAGTTAAATGGTAACCAAGTGATGATAACAATAATGGCGGTGATGATACTGGGAATGATAACAAGACTGTAATGAACAATGATTTACAATGAAGACCAAGTTGGTGACAAAAAAAGATGATGATGTTCGTGGTGAAGACATATGCGGAGAGCAAATGTCATGAATGTTACGACAGCTTATATATGATGGTGTGATTAGACGATGCTGATGGCGCAGTGATGATGACAATAGTGATGATGGTGGCGTAGTGATGATGTTGACAATGGTGATGATGATGGCGACGACGACGATGATGGTGGTGACAATGACAATGATGATAATAAATCCTGCTCCTCTTACTTACCAAGAGGTCTGGTATAGATACAGCCTTGGCGTAGTTTTTCGCTAAAGGTACAGGTGATGGTGGATCGGAATTATTCGATACTACGATAGACACGGGTCTTTTAGGAGTAGGACTGGGTTTTACTTTCCGCGCTTCTCCTTAAAGAAAACATAAGACGATGCAAAGTTACTAGACGATACAAAATAGCGAAACATTGAATAGAAAGTTTTGGTCTCTCTAAAGGCCCGATCACACATGCGATTTTTTCGGCGGTTTGCAGCGCGATTTCCACTGCGATTCTTGCGGCGATTCATGTGCGATCATAACTCGATCGTGTAAACTACCGGCGATTTTGAGGCGATTTGATAAATCCACGTCGCCGATGAATCGCCACTATTTCGAACACGTTCGAATTTAGTGCGATTTTTCGACGATCAGTTTTTCTGCAAGAATAGCAGTGGAAATCGTGCTGCAAATCGCCGAAAAAAACGCCTTTGTAAACGGGCCTTAACTTTCCTCTTCGTTTATCCTTTCCTTCCTTCGTTTTTTGTTGTTCCCTCCTTTCCCTCCCTCTCTTTCATTTTTCCCCTCTTTTTCATCTTCTTCCCTTTCTTTCAATATACCTGCAGATGCAGAGCTCATCTTCCGTTTCGATTCTGCGGATTTGGGCGCTATAAAAAAGAACCAAAAATAGAGTGGATCATTTTAATTGAAAACTGGACAATGATACTAAGCGGGGAAGAAGCGGTTCAACTTCGTCGGCCCTCTATTAATCAAGCTTTCTCATTCTTTCTATTTGGCTTGAAAATCATCCAAATACGAACAAGACAACGTCGTATAGTATAGCATAGAACGGTTTCCGTACGAGTGGGAAACGATACGAAAAATCCGTAGTCGTATCGTTACATATTTTACCGCATCTATGCGTTGAGATTGGAAGACAATGGGAAGCCATATGTTACAGCTTGTCGTATCTTGTACGTCCTGTAAGTCAGTACCGTACATTTCCAACTCATACGATAACCATTCTTATGGAAAGCCATTTCAATGTTAAAGCCTGTCGTACCGTGTACGTACTGTAAGTCAGTAATGTACGTTTACCACTCATACGATAGCCGCTCAAGCGGTCATGTCAATATGCAATCTAGAGATCGTACCGTTTGACGGTGAGCTTGATTTTCGTTTTGGTTCTCCTTTGTCAACCTGGAGAGCTGTGACTGGCTGGACAGGTCTCTTGGCCACCATGCGCTTGAGACTGTTAGCACAATGAAAGCTATCTTTAGTCAGTGTTAGAATCAAGGAAACGCGATGTGTTTGGGTTATTGATTGCAAAAACGGAAGAAAGGATCACTATTCACTTGCGCAAGATATGGAAATGATAGACAGACAAAGAGTACAGAGAGGTGGACACACAGACAGATAGACAGTACAGACAGACAGACAGACAGTACAGACAGACAGACAGTACAGACAGACAGACAGACAGACAGTATAGACAGACAGACGGTACAGACAGACAGACGGTACCTGTTCTCTCTCTTGGTCATCATTTCATTCACCTGACCAATCCTCTTCAACGAATCTTTCACTTTATTGATTAGAAATGTATTCCCTAATTCTTTGCTCATTTTTTCTAGTTGGTTCAGCTTCTTTAAACTTATGCCTTGTCGGTCTTTGAGGAAGCTCTCTATCTCTTCCAGACATTTCTCTGCTCCTTCTGAAGTCTGGAATTTCTCGACTGGTTGTGTCGCGAGAAGATCGCTCCCTTTTGTGCACCACCCACTCACCTGGGGGGAAAAAAGATTCCATTCATTTTTTATTTCTCAATAGACATAGTCCTTGGTCACACAACGCAACGTCACGCAACTTCCTCCTAGTGAAATTTACTCTGAAAAACCAAATCCACTTTCTCATTTCAGATTCACGTGTCATTCACTTGAGAATTATTTCTTTGTTTACCAGCAGTGAACATAGATGAAATTAGATCTTATTCTCAAAGGAAGGACTTGTCGTCTGAAATGGGAAATCCTTCCGCCCAATGGACCACTTGCATGTGACGTTAAAACAGCTCAATTTGGAGGGTAAAACAAAAGATTTTCAATCTCCTGATAATTGGAAACACATTGTTATGTCCTCCAAAATGAGCAGCATTCCGACGGACTGCAAGGGGTCTATTGTACGGAGTCTTGCATAATGAAAGTCTATACTCAAATATTTTTCAGCATTCATCGAAATTCAAAATTTTTAAGACAACAAAACTGATTAAGGAAAGAGAAGGGAATTAAGGAAAGGAAAAGAAAGACGAACCTGCTGCAGACAATCATGGATATCCATGGCATTTTTCAGTTGTTTTTCTCTCATCTCGATCTTGTTGTTCAATTCAGCACACGATTGTGACAGCTCGTCGCATCTCATCTTTACGGTTCTTTTCGATAGTGAGTCTTTCTCTGCTAATTCCTTTCCCTTCTCGATCAGGGCTTTGGCTCGACTGATAGGATCCTGGAAAATAACGAAAGTAGTTAATTCTGGTTGTTTAATTTTGAGGAAAGGCGCAATTATGCGGAGCAATTTTCTCTGCAGCTTGTCTCGCAGCGGCGCTGTGACACAAGTTGCATGGAGCATTGCAGTGTGTAACCTACAGAACAATTTGAAAAATGTTGTGAGACAAGTTGCATAAAAGTAGAATTCGTTCAGTTTTACTTTTGTCAAAGATTGCGTCTCCATGGAACCGTGTCAACAGTCTTCCTCGTGGCTACAATAAAATTGAGCGACTGCTCCAGTTCAAGTACAACTTTCTATTACGTCCTCTCTTCTTCCGAGTTTTATTAAAGAGAGTTTTATTAATGCACGAAAAACTAATATGCCGCCATGTTGGATGAATTATGTTGCTAAGTCATCCATCATGGCCGCCATCAACCTCACATATTGCGCATGCTTGACAAACATGCGCAATAAGAAAAAAGGCTCTGCGAACGAGATTGGTCTGCCATTTTTTTATCATCATATTTTCTTTGGAAAAGCTAACCCTAAAATAGTAGGTTGAATTAGGAAATTCAAAAGATAATCCAAAGTCTTGAATCTGAAGAAAAGAAAAAAAAACCCGGTCTTTCGCGAAAGAAAATTGATTCTACTTACTCGTGACGTAGTAGTCTTAAACGTGTGTAGCTCATCCAATAGTTTTTCGGCAGCCATTCTGCTGTCTCCTACGTCAACCATTGTCGACACTTTACTGGTTGCCGCGAAAAGGAGTCCTGTAATCTGCGAATGAAGACATAAATCAAAAATTTAGATACAATGTACGAATACATTCATTATTTGACAGACAAATTTACGACGTTTCTACTGACCAAAGACATTATGAAAAGTAGAATTTTTTAGAAAATGATATGCGTCTTTGAGAAAAAACATTAGTATAGTGTTGACTGAATTTAAATTAGGAAATAAATGGTTTTTCATTTAATTAATCAGTATTTTAGACTCTTTGGCGCCTGTTTAACTAAGATATGCTATTTTATTGACATTAGTACAGTAAACGAGATCAACTGCCCACAAATTCACTATTTAAACTCGTCTTTTTTTAGAAAAATAGCCGATCTGCAACTAAAATGACTGGCTCAACTTCATATGATTTAATCTGAAATTACAATTATTAGAACCTTTGTGTAAAAACACACTTTAAACAGTATTTAAAACCTATTACAGTTTTTGGTAGTGACAATTTTCAGGATTTTTGATAACTGTCATCGTCCTAAAATATATTTTTCCGTTCCACCAAATTGAAATTCTGGATATGATTGTTTGTTAACTGTTTAAGATTAACCTTGATTTCTGGAATTAGCTGTATTTAGGAGGAAATATATTTTAGCAAATAAAGTAATTTTTCGTCATAGACGATACTAATCAGGCGATACTTCGTAGCATTCTACACCGAAAAATCAAATAATTTTTCAAATAAATATTTTCAAAAATATTGTTTATGAACTGCATTCTGGCAAAATAACATACAGCGAGGCCACCAAAACCACTAACCAACTATTTTTTATCTACAAGGATTTAAATTCGATTAAAAAAATAAATAAATAAAAGCAAAAGGCAAAGCATACAACGGAAACAATTACAGAAATGTACCAAATCAAATAACACCAAAAATAATCAAGAACAAAAAAACAAACAAACAAACAAAACATTTCTGCTCTTACCTGACCAACTTCCAGCTCAAATAATGATATTTCTAACCCTTGTCGAAACTTCATTTCATGATTTTCGAAAAATCTCTCAAATTCTTTATCAGAATCGTTCAATTTTTTGAAGAGTCCTTCGAGTTCGGTGGTATTGGCTTTGACGTCTGGACCAACAGCATTATCATTTTCATCGTCTTTATTCCTACTTGGGTGAATACATTTAAGCAAAGTTACCCCTGTCATTCTTGTACTAATAATATCTTCTTTAATATCCTTCCATAGTTCTTTCTGTGATTCCAGAGTGAACTCCATTTCCTGTATGCTAGAGGTTATCTCCGTTCGCTCAAATTTTCTTCGCATCATGTCAAGCTTTTTCGATATTTCTTCGACCTTACAATAAAATCTTTCGATAGCCTGATGAATAAACGAAGAATATTCGGTCAAAACACATCATTTTGGCTTCAAATGTTATCCGCAAAATAAAGATATCTCTAAAGCTCGTTTTACAAAATTATTGCCACAATCATTCAAGTGTCCTTGCAGATGGTAGTCTACACGTTGATGGCCAATCTGGAACATTCTTTGGTCACTCTTACAAAAGCCAATCATGAATTTATTTATAAATGACAAATATATACAAATAATTGTTAAAATAACCTTCAATATCGGTAAAAAACCTCAATGGCAATCATTCAAACCTCTTTGTCAATTGCAATTGAGTTTTGACATTAAAAATCGAGAGAAAAACAATTGAAAGTAAAGATGTAGAGCACGTCAGAGTGCAATAGTGTTTTATGGTTGTGTTTTCGCTCCAGTTCTGGCATCTTCCATGGGAAATGGTCTGTTGAACACTTTCTCTATTGAATTCGTTCTCGGAACAAAGGGAAGTACACACAAATATAATTTCTGACTTACACTTCTGTTTTCTATCCATTCTTCATGCTTGTATTCCAATTTTCCTCCCAAATCAGTTGACAGCTGGTCTTGTTCAATATACGTTTGCAAGTCTGCTACGCTCCCAAGTACCACAATCTATTCAAGTAAGAAAAATTTCCTTCAACTACCGCTTTTTTCACAGCAAAAACCTTTCCCAACGATGTTGATTCTGTACCAGTTTCGAGTACAGTATACGGATTTAAGAGATTTTATAATGGTCTTAAGATATTTTTTGCTTTAAATTTGGTATTTTGGAATACGTTGGAGTCGAGCTGTCGCTTTACAGCTTTGAACTGAGGACAAGATTAAATAATTATGAAAGATGAAAATAAAGATTAAAAATGGGCGGGAAAATGCGAATTACGTGGACAAAGATATTTCTCTCCTTTGTCGATACATTTTTTCTATTTTCCATTCTTTTTCGTGCATTGGGACACTAAAAGCAATAAATCAAAGTGATAAAGAAGATGCTCTTGAGAAGTAAGTATTGTTTTAAAAAGTCGGACACCAAAAAACGACTGCGGTAAAAGTTCAGAAAGTCTATTGTTCTCAGGGTTTAGTTTAGCACACGCATGGGTTCATTGTAACAGACTTCAAAACAACATCAGGGAAGCCATTTCAAGCAGTGTATTGGTTGCCCCATTCAGGCACTGATGTAGTATCCTATGACGTCGACCTCTCACAGACAATTGCCATGGAGACGGACTCTCAGAATCGAAAGCTTAGAAAATTTGGAGTAGGTGATACTATAGTTTATGTAAAAATGATGACGGGAGAAGAAAACTGTTATTTTTTTAATCGCCGTAATAATACAAGATAAATTATTCTAAAAGTACACGCCATTAGTTTCAGTTGCCCGTACCTTGAACGTTGCCTGCGCTTCTTGGCTTGCACTTCCACCCATAAATTTCTGGATTATCCCTTGTGGTTTTAACACGAATACACAGCTGATAGGAGATGGGAAAGTGTTCTGTAAATGAAAAAGAAAAACCATGAAAAAACACCGAACTTTGAGAACAACTTTAGAAAAATGATCGCGTTTTTTCTTTTCCTTCATGTCTAGTTATTTGTGGGATTTTGTTGCGACGTTTTGTTACCGAAAATGCATTTCTCTAATTCAACATAAGTTTTACTACGATAGATTACCTTTTTTGATACTATCGCGCTAAGCGATACTAAAAAATTAAAAAACATTAAGATCAATTCAGTATTTTAAAACAGTACTAATTTAGTCGGCTCGATAGTTCCTGAAAACAAGATAAAACGCTGCCGATTTAAGACTAAATAATACTTTTTCTTTAGTTCAGTTCGTACAATTCAATGATAAAGCAAAATATTTGAATATATATATATATATATATATAGCACTTTAGATGATCTATCATTTGAAGGGAAAAAAAACTGCGGAAAAAATATTAAATTGGCGTGTCACATTTCCGGCGCCCTTTCCGGAAGTGCGTCACTAAGGAGGTACAACATACATTTCCTTTTTTAGGCCAGATTCCTGTAAATGGTGATCCTAATGATAACATTGTGAAGCTACCTTAGGCCAACTCCTTTTATTTTCTCAAGAAAATGATACGAACAGCTAGTAGAGTTAATGGTGTTTTAATATCGTTTGTGTCATGAACTCTCTTTATTGTGCGTAGCTTTGGCTTTAATAATGGATTATTAAAGGTGGGATAGGAAAAAGTGCGCGCCTTTGATTTCCTATATAGATTGATAATAGTGTTTTTATTTTGTCGCCCTATGTCATTCTATATAGAAACACTTTTATTTAAATTGGGCTCCCTGTGTAACAATCGATCGAAAATGAGTCACACACGCGTCTCTTACTCTCCCTTGTCATGTGAAGACTTGTCATGTGAAAAGAAGAGGGGAAGGGACGATAGGGAAAATCTGCACATGATAGTAACATGAGCATCAGGCTTTTCCGGCCATCTTCCTTTTTCCTTCCTCTTTCTTTTTGCGTATCGAGAAAGAGTGGAGGGGAGGGGAGGGTGGGGAAAATCAAACACAAGATGTCAGAAGTTATAGGCAAGTAAAAATAAAATTCTAAACTACCCTTGAGAAGGGGGACGGATGAAAGGGAGGCAGGCTATGGTCTTCCACTTTTAGTCTTAAAGATACCAGTCACTACAAGACCACAATAACCCTGCTAAAATGATTGTTATCACTGCACACACTTTGAAAAACAGGAAGAACTAATGGAGCTTAATTTTTAATTAATTTTCATGCACCATGGGGCAGCCATAATAACTTGTAACATGCTTAGTTTAGAACTTGACAAAGTTTCTAGAACGTTCCATTGTTTTGTTACTTTGACTATTTCATAGCCCAACCTTGCCCCACCTTACCCTAAGGCGTGAAGCTGATGAGAGAGGATTTTTAATTATGTGGCAATTCATGAGTATTTCATCTTAGTATTTCATCAGAGTAAATTTTAAGGGCAGTGAATGTATTCCAAATGATCAATAAAAATCATAAGAAAAGACAGTAGTTCGAGACGGGTGGGGGTTTTGGTCCGATAAATGTGTTTACTCAGTAAAGGTGCAGCTTTAAATGGCTCAATTACTAATTGTGAAGGTGTTGTTTATAACAGCTTGACTGTCTATCCATTTCCTGTCTATCAGTTTCCAAGTCCTGTATGTTCTAAAGAAAGCAAATGCGTTTGGGCTTCCTGTGGATTTATCACCACAGGTAACCCAACTGAAACCTGAACATCATCTCAAATTTCATAATTTTCCTGATAAAAACAAAAACTTACAAACCTTTAGCTTTGCCAGGGTGGTATTGACATTGCTCCACCGTCCTTTTCGTCTATCTAGTATCACAGTGAATTCTTGTTTTACACATTCTTCATAGTCAAAAAATCTTAAAACAAAAACAGTTTTAAAATAATATTTTCAAGAGAAAATACAGGTTGTCTTATTTATGAAGTAAAGACAGCATTAGGACAAATAGGTGAACATACCTTGATGACAAATCTAAAAGATACTTGAAAACTATTTTGATATAATTGTCGTCTGCTATGTTGATTTTTGAATCAACAGGGATGGTGACTATCAAGTTGTTATAATGGTCTTTTCCACCTTAAAATAATTGAGTTTCAGATATTTCACACATACTTCAATAAGATGAATATCTATTAGTATATATACAGCAATGCTGACAGCAGCAGCAACAGCAACATTAGCAGCAGCTGCAAGTAACAACAACAGTAACAACAACAGTAACAACTACAGCAGCAACAACAACAACAGCAATAACAACAGCAGCAACAACAACAGCAGCAACAACAGTAGCAGCAACAATAATAGCAGCATCAGCAGCAACAGCAACAATAGCACCAGCAACAAGAACAAGAATGACAACAACAGAAGCAGCAGCACCAGCTGAAACAATGATTGAAAACAGTGGCAAAAGGATATAATTCACAAGTTTGCATATTACCTGACAGGAATGCATAGTTCTCTTGTAATATTTCAGCAATGTCATATGCTCTGATCTTGGGCTCCTGTGAAGGCTCTTCTTCTAAAAAATTTTTAGTTTGATAATGGTTCAATAAATTAATTACCAATGACAACCGCAAATCCATGAGTGAGGTAGCCATTACCTATATATTGAATCTTAAAAAGGTGTTAGCAAGAACATAGCCAGGATTCGAGGCTGAGGCTGGTGCGAAGGTTATCTTTCCCTCCCCCCCTCCCAGATCATCAAAAACACCAAAATTTTCATACCCATGCCAATGTTAAGCGAGACACATTGGCACTCTGTGATTATGACCCTGACATTTTTATTTCGTTAATAATATCAGTTTGGAAATGAATAACAAGCAAAATGATGATTTTAAGAAAGTGCTCTTAAATACATTTCCTTCAGCACCAGGCATGCAAATTTTTTAAAGCGTTGAAGGCCTTTTCCTGTCAACACTTGTGAAAGGAAATGTCTAAATGAAATCCTTAGCTAATACTCTATAAACAGTATCTTACTAATGCAAATCTTAGCCAATAGTGACTAACTTTAATGTCATAAATGCCTAGTTATTATAACAAAAATTAAAGTACTAATTCTTGAAAATTATAAATTTGAAATCTGTTAAAACTATGCTATTTTTAAAGCATTGAGTCATAATGATTATTTTCATAAACCAAAACGTGTTTATATAAAAAAAATACAGAGTGAAAGTTCTTTATAAAAACAAATATTTTTTCAGCATCAAATCATTTCAAGATTGTATAAATAGTTTGTTTATATTCAAAAGTCTTTGTTCTAAAAATTAACCAATGGGTTACTAGGTATTCAATTTGTAGTCATAAAGAATAATTGACTTTCACAAATTATTTTTTTCTAAAATAACCTTGAAGATTTACTGATGTGTAGAAAGACAAAGAGAATGACTTTTGTAGAATATTAATATTTTAGTTAATAATAAGATTTTGGTATAAACGAAATTAACTCGCTCATTTTTAAAATATAAAAAATAAATACTGTGAAATTAAATTTTAAAACAAAAATGTATAGTTGAAGACAGGTATTAATATCAAAAGCTTTCGAAAATATCGATGTGTGGGCTGCCACGATATATATGTCGAAATTATGTGGGATTTTATAGAATATTCAGCATTCCTTTTCGAATATTTTATTATGCCATAAAATCATTTATTGTGATAGCTAGAGACTGGAGTGTTAATGGACAACACAACGTCATTCTGAAAGAGTTAAGTCTTTACAAATAAAAGCCAGCTCTTCAAGGCAATGAATATAAATGATTTTGGTGTGTGCTTCCCGACAGCTCATTTTCCTTCGTTCTTCACACACTAGACTAAATAAATAGAATCTTCTATGGAATATTTAGCAAGGAATTAAAAGCCTTAAACCTTAGAAAAGGAGAAAAATTAACGGTATAACAGACATTTGGCCGAATAAATTTTCAGGCTCATGATTTTGTTGATCAAACAAAGTCGAAGTCTAGGGTCTTTAGTGATTCAGGAACTTCGAACTTCGATTCTAAACACGAATTTTTTTAAATTCGCTATCCTCTTACATGGAAAATACGTCGTTGGATTTTTCTATGAGTTCAAAATACATTGTTTTAAATCCTGACGTTTGAATGAAACAGAGAGAAACCCTACCTGTACCTTGGTTTTTATTTGCCATAATAGTCGAAGTGTCGCCTGGGGATCGACTGGTGTTGTTTATATTAAAACTATAATTCACAGCGAGGTTTCAGCTTCATCTTGACCCTTCTCTAGCAAGGAAGATTTCATGTATTTTCTCTGAGATAGATGAGATTCCCCATTTTGGGGATAGCCGGTCTAGGTTTCGCTTCAAGTCTGAAGGGATTTGCATTAATAAACTATTTTTGTGTGACTGACTTGTTCATTTGAACCTCGTCCAATCATTCATTTGGCCGATGCGTGATGCGTGACCAAAATTTTAATGTTAACCAAAATTATCCCACATAAACAGCTTTATTCAAACTTTAGTAAACCCTACATTGTCCTTTGTGAAGATTATACGTTGTTATTTCAGGACCACAATTTGAAATATCTACTGAAAAATTATAATGTAACCGAAAATGTTTTGGTAATTAATTATTTATTAAAATGCGCATAATTAGTCACTTTTTTCTTATTTTCGAGGTGTTTTGGAAAATTAATGGTTTCAACCCATTAAAATCATTAATGGTTTGACTTATGACGGAAAGGTCGACATTTTATGATAATATAACGAAAAGTCGTAAACAGGTATCATATTTTTCTAATTTTTTTTCTCGTTCTTCATCCAACCACATTATGCATTCTTTTTTTCTTTCGCTCTTTCTTTCGTTTTATTTTCTGTTCTATCGACTTTCTTTTGGCCAACTAAGTTGTTTCCTTATCTTCCTTTTCTTCCCCTTTCTTTTAAATTTAGGTTTATGATTGCGTGCTCTATTAACGTATCGTATCAGGGACCATCGATATTATATATTTCTCTCTCTTTTAAATTTTAGTTGGATATGGTCCAAGTACTAACACCTATAGTCATCGTGAGTCATGCATCGGGTAGCGTCCGCTTTGGTTAACATCTCAATCAAACACCATTATCCTATATTAGCTAGCAGAGCTAGGGAGACCAATATCGACTTTCATAAATCCGAACCGACGGAAATATTATTTAGACAACCCGGAGACAAGGGATTTTTAGCGCACGTATGAACTTGTTTTCTTTCTTGCGTTCTTTATCGGTAAGAGAAATGCTTGAAATGCGTGCAAATAGAATGACTGACTTTTGGCTAGTTTTCTCTATAAACTTCTAAATTATTCAGTTAGAATTCGAAACATTCCCTGGATTTTAAAGATGAAAACGAACACCTGAAAAGGTGCCAGGCGGAAAGGAAACCTTAAACTAAAGCCGAGACCTGCCTGTCAAATGACGCTGATATGTTAGAACAAGAGGAAACCACGTGATGCGGCAGTGTTTTCACAGATTTCGTCTTATTCTTAGTAATGCTTTTCTTTAACATAAGCCAGTTGGCTTCATTTCATGGTTTGTTGGATTAAAATGCAAATGCTTGGCAAAGATAAAATGTCGCGTCAAACTTTAGCCAACTCCTTGAAGTCTACGTTTGTTTTGCATAAAAAAATCCATTAAACCATAGCAACGTACCATTTATTTTTTTTAGACTGTAGTTTAAATACTTGTAGAATTATATCAGAGTTATTCGTGTCGAATTTGTCTCGTTTTTTTGGCGTCGGAGGCAAATTTAATTTCTTTTGTGAACCAATCAAAATGCACGAACACAGAACATCCAATATTTCATCCAATATATGTCTTGAATTCGCAAGCCACGTGTCTTACGTTTTCTACTGTGGGTTGTCCTTGTGGGCGGGCAATAGTGTATTGGACTATGTGCCAGTAACTTCCTTTCGTTACTTTTATTCGCTATTGAAACCCATTGCTGAATAATTTGGGGTAGGAGGGGATATATAGAGGATATTACATGGGCGCGCGGAGATACGAATTTTATCTTCGAGTGTTGAAAAGATCTCTCACGAGTGAGCGCAGCGAACGAGTGAGAGATTTTCAACACTCGAAGATAAAATTCCTATCTCCAAAGCGGCCATGTAATATTCTGTTTATTACATAATTATCAATGAAGTATGTTTTGGCTTTTTCAGGCAATTCTTTCCATGTACTTTTGAATAGCCATCGCAATGGTGTTATCTTCACACGTGAAAATAACATGTTATTTTCACGTGTGAAGATATCAATTTTTCGAAATAGAGAAAAATAGATATTTCATTGGTAATTATATAATAAATAATATTATTTTCGGCTTTAAGCCTCATGTCGTATACGAGTCGAAAACATGCTTTCCGACACGCGATGCACAAAGCGCTAAGTTTGACGCAATCTTGATCGAGAAGAAAATCTAAACATTTCCCTCCAATGATAATGGGTTTTTTTTCTCTTACCCTTTCCTTCTTTTCTGTTTGCTTTACGCCTGTTTGAAAATGCACACAAAACGATTTGCGACCCTCTCACTAATTTCTTCAATGCTGCAATTAGCCTACACAGTGTGTACAACCATGTGACTCAAAATCCTTGAGATATGAAAAACTATAAAACAACCGCCATGTTGGTTGATTTAACAAGAGAAGGAATGAGGAATGCTCTATTGCAATACTATTCTTCCCGTTTTCTTTTCAGTAACAAGAATTCAAACATAAAATCATAAGATATACTTTAATGCCCCGCAAGTTAATAACAATAAATGATTCCAAAGTACTCAAAAATACTTGACCTGACTGTTAATACAGTCGATTATTTCATTCTTCTTGTAGGAATTATGGAAATATGAACAATGATAAATTGAACGTTTAGCAAAATGATTCATGCAGGAAATCCGTGTTCTTTTAACTTTGCCACCAAATCGTCAACTGTTTCTACTTTGATTCCAGCGCTGCGTACAGGGGGGTCTGTAACATTCAAGATCTCTATCCGGGGGGACACGTCCACACCTAGATCTTCGGGAGTTTTCTTATCAATCTTTTTCTTCTTTGCTTTCTGATGGGATTTAAAGAGAATAGCTTTGGTTATAAGTAAGCATAAATAATGGCGCATTTGATTTTCGTTGGAGCTGTCTTTACTGGTTAGGGAGCCACAGGGAACCCATGTCGGTAAAGTATATGAAATTTCAGCAAAACACAAAGAAAATATTATGACACAAAACAGAACATGGGCTTTCTGTGGGCTACCTTACACACAGGTATCCCAGCTAATTTGTTTTAGTTCTATTTAAAATGGGATATTTTCTTTCCTCACCATAATGTTGGGTAGTGTAGCATATCTGGGCTCATTCAATCTACAAAGATAAAAAAATCATTATTGATACATAGGCTCCTCCTCAGGCATCTCTCTACCTTTGGACTTCAGTTTATGGCTTTCTGTGTTAGGAAACAAAATGACAGTTCCCTTATAGTCTACATGGTCTATTCCAAAGGAAGCCCAAGAAGCTGCCTGCGGAAGAGTCTTGTTGCAGCATTGATTGGTTTCACTTGATGTCATTGCCTGTCTCATGCAGAATGTTCATCAGCTAAATTGCAAGCTCTCAAAAGAATATTTCTCATTGAGAGCACAAAGTGCTCAGTGTTTGAACACCATTTAGAGCAGATAATGACATTCAAAGACTTTTATCAACAAGAAAAACTAAATAATGAAACAAAGGATATTTGGTGAATATGTCCAATGTAAGATATGAAATTGCACACATACCACAGGCATATTTGACCATCAAATAATCTGAGCAGTGTACATTGGTTACTTGTTTTTTTTTTTCATACTTTACCTTAAATCAGCTGATAAAACACATGGTAGCTTGACATTGATTGTTTCAAGTCCACCATCAATCTCTCTTAAAACTTGAAGTCTGCCGTCTGTCTTTTCCACTTTTGAAGCAAAAACAGCCTAAAGAAACCATTAAAAACAAAATGAAAAAGGATTCCACAGCAACTTGATTTTTCAATGTTCTGAAGAATCAAGATTTAAGATGAATCAAGGTAATGATTCTATGTACATATTTTGCTCTGTTTATTATCTATTGCAGCACAGTTCTTGACAAATAAGAATACACATACTTTCTATTCTATACTAGTATATACTTAGAAAACCCTCAAACCTGAAAAATGACTGGAATGTTCATTGTGTTCTGACCAATCACATGCAAGAATGAATCCATTACTAACGGATATGTTATTGGAACCATCATGCTGGTTCGTACCAAATTTGTTTTGTAAGTCACAAAAGATTTTCTATGCTTACATTGTTTCTTGAATTTCTCGAAAACAAAACTACACTGTAAGATATGAAGTTAAAACTATTAAACTACAAATAACTTTGGTGCAATCACACTGTGGTTTAACATATTGAACATTCCAGATATATTTTAGGTGTCCAAGATTTTCTTAGTTTGACTGTAAAATATTATAAATAATGATAACACATACCTGTGGCCAGTTAAGTAGTCCAGAGAGCATCTGTGGTGTCTGGTTACAGTCATCATCAATGGCCTACACACACACACAAAACTGGGTTACAAGGAGTGTGCCATAATGACTTTTAGGCCTAGGGCAAACGTCGAACTTTCCATGCACCGAACTTAATTACATCAAAGAATGCTGCCTCATTATCACTTGATGTCCATTGTTTTTAATGAGTTCGGTGCATGGAAAGTTCAAAGTTTGCCCTAGGCCTTACTTTAGTTTATACTGCTTTGTTATTTTCCCACATCTTAACTTTGATCTGCCCAGAGGCTGATTCAGGGTTTGATAAAGTTTTTAATCTGGGATAGGATGTATTTGTGGGTCCCAATATTATGGTAGTCCTTGTGGACCAGAGTATCATTAATAAAAATTAATGATTTTTGAATTAGCAGTCCCCAAGGAATTAAAGGGGGCTTTCACTTATAAGCACATGGGGTGGGTCGGAAATATTTTTTGGGGGGGTTACGCTATTTTGAGAAAGTGGTCAGGGGAGGAGGGGGCATAGCGAGGGGGGGTTGAGAACTATTGCAGGATGATGAAAGGGCAGTTATGCAATTGTTGCCTCTACCATGGAGGGGGGAGGGAGGTTGCATTATTTGTTAAGCTTTTCATATGGTTGATGCTCTTGATACTTGATACTATGAGGGTTACTTGATACTATGAGAGTTACTATGTGGGTTACTTGATGCTTTTGTTGCCAACTCCCCCTCCCCCTACACTAATAAATGAAAGCCCACTAAGAATCATTTCAATCTTCTTGTTTGGTTCAGGACCAGTTTCATACCTGTTTCCCTAACAACACTAAGTCAGGTTTTTCTAGTTCAACTATTTTGGCTAGAAGCTTTGCAACAGCTAAAGGTTGTAACCCTTCATAAGCTTTATCATCTAAAACCACATGGACACCCCTGTCAACACCCATCGCAAGAGCTGTACGTAATGTTTCCTGGAAATGTAAAAATCATTCTTTTCAGTCATGCATTAATCTACATATTATATTAGGCAGACTTCAGCTTTACAGCTTGATGTCCAAAAGTATGACCGGTGATGATGTTATTGCATACTTTTGTGCACAGGCTTTTGTACATTAAACTGACAAAGTTCGATGCAAACCTGGCTGGATCTACCAAGTAAGTTGTGTTAAAACATATTTGGCAGCAATATGCCATTGCATAGAAGCATGCAAATACAATAAATGTGGCAATACTTTTGTGTGTTGTGCTGTAATATTGCCACAACCAGATTCTTACTAAGAAATGCTTAGGGCTTTTGTATACTACTTCACTCCCCATGAAAGACTGCTTGCCTTGATGATAACCCTTATGTATTCTCTGAAAATACTTGATTCCTACCTCACTCTTTGCTGGGCCACAGCTTACGGCAATGACCTCAGATGCTATTTTTTTCTCCTTCATCCTGATTGCCTGTATCAAATATATATATATACAAACATTATTAAGGTCAGAAGTACATTGCACACATCTTAATCCCAAAAATACATAGTAATCCAAAAATAGTTGAGACGATATGATAATCTTAAAGTGGGCCATTAATCTTTGTCCCCCATTTTCCTCCCAGTTTTCAATTTATTTAGTTTTCATTTCAATTGTTAATTCCTCCCAGTATTTCCAGAGTGTTCAACGAGGTGTTATTTTAAAAATGAATGCAATTCCGCAAGAATATTAATACGTTATGCAATACTGCATAAGCTTAAATTTTATTGAAGACAAAAATTATCCTTTACTAAGTGTGTGAGCTTGTGTGGGTTGTGTGAGCTTGTTTCAGACTCTTAGCTTTGATTAAAACGCATGTGCTATACCGTATTGAATTTAAAGGCTATTTAATCCTACCTCTTCTACAGCAATTTCATCAAATGGATTCATACTATGTTTGACTCCATCAGTAACAACACCAGTTTTATCAGGTTTGACGCGGATCTAAGACATGAAACTAGGTCAGTTTATAAATAAGGCACAAAGGTTTCCAAAAAATTGGAGTTTGAGTTAAAAATACGGCGTACCTTGACTGCATAGTCAATGACACGTTTGCATCCAACGAGAACACGTAAAGACGCCATCTTGGATTTGGTTAGAAAAAGAGACTAGACTGGGCATGCTCCAAACAGGAAATACCGGTTAACCAACCTGCAAAGATAAATCTTCGCGAAGAGACTAAAATTTCCTTTTCTGAAATGAATAGATAAAACAAGCACTGCAAATTTCTTATCTTTAGAGCAAAATGCTGAATCTTATCATTATATTATCTAATTCCTCCTAATGCTCTAAACAGGAAAGACCGGTTAACCACAGGTAGCCCAAGGCAGAACAACTTGCAAAAATAAATCTAAAAACTAGAAACTAAAATTTCCTTTTCTAAAATAAATGAATAGATCATAAAAGCACTGCAAATATATCATCTTTGGAGCAAAATGCTGATTCTTATCATCATATCATATAATTCCTCAGTATATGACGTCGTGAACTTGCGGTCACCCTATGGTTTTAGGCTTTCTTGACAACAGACTCGAAGGACAACAATCGAAGGAATCAACAATTGAGAATATTTGGCTTTTTGACTCAAAATGCCTCCAAAAAAGAAGAAGGGGAAGGGAAAAAAGAAAAAGAAGAAGGATGGTAAGGATACATGGATGTAATTGTCATGCAATTTTGAACTTGATGTTTCAGAATTACATGAAAACTGCGTCGTCAAAAGGCTAATCCTTCCAAACCGAAAATGGCTAACAATACTTTAACCATTGTAAAATATATTTTCTCGTTATCCAGAAAAGACTGAATTGACGGTAGAGGACAAATACAAAAGAACAATTCAGGAAATCGAATGCTTAAGAGATGAACTTGGTAAGACTTAAAGAATCAGTATAAAACTTGTGTGTTTTATTGGCATGTTACTGTTTATAAAAGAATGTTACCAAAATTAAGGGCGCTCAACTCGCTCTCATGTTCAATTCTTTGCAATTGCATTTGATCATCGAGCCATGGAATTTGCATTTAAAAAAACATGAAATTATTATTAATCATTAATTGTAGCTTCTAGAACTGAGATAACACGAAGAGCAAAGGATACGACTCTCAGGATGAAGGAAAAGATGCTGGAGGCACAGGATACTGTTGAAGCAGAGAAACAGAACAAACTGGATATTTCTTCAGGTTGGCTTAAATCCATTAACAAGTCTTGGTTGTGTTTTGGTTAAACAGAAATCATTAACAGGGATAGAACCTTCGAGACTGCAGGACTGCTTGCCGTGTGGGCTTCTCTTCTTTCTCCTCCTTCCTTCCCTCTCTTTCCATCATTTTCTCTCTCCTTTCCTCTTCTTATAGGGAAGCCCCAAGTGCAACCCCCCCCCCCCCMATATTTTAATATGGGTAAGGTTTTAACTCAAATAACTACTCCATATCTCATGCATTTTTGCTTTTTTAGATCTAACGAGACAGTACAAGACCATGCAGTCTGAAATGGCTCTTAGGATACACATGCTGGAACAGACTGTTACTAAGCTACGAGACAATTTAGGTAAAGAAAACCAATAAAATGATTATGATTATCATAATATATAGAATTCTAAAGTGATGATATGACATTTCTTGGTTGCCCTAGAAAAATGCCACACTTTAGCTCTCTAATCTTACTTCCCTGCTAGCAGAGTCTCCTTCGTTGGCAATTCTTGGGAAGAGTCGCCAACGAGGGAGACTCTTCTAGCAGGGAATATTTTTACCAGATTTGGTGTTGATTGAAAAAATCAATCTTACTGCATCAGTAGTAAAGTTTCGTCAAAGTAACACAACTATCTTATACTGTAATGTTTTCAATTTCAAGCCAAGTCTGAAGAGGAACTTCGTAGGACAAGAAAAGAATTCGAAGACATGAAGAAAGAAAAGGATCAGACTATCGCAGAGCTGAAATTTAAGATAGAGCACATGGAATCAGTTTATGAAAGTATTCTACATGTAAGTAGGGAGTCAAGAGGGGGACGAGGATCATAGGAGTATTTAAGGGAGCACTTAACTACTGTAGTTAACTGCTCCCTTAAATACTCCTATGTAGTCCACAACATGTATGTGGTAGTAAGCACAGAAGGAGTTTTCAATGATAAATGAACTTCAGGATGGCTGTAATCCATAAAAAATACCAAATGTGGATTTGGGGGTGGGATAGCCTGCATTGCATTCGAAATTCTGATGAAGACTTTACAAAGAAAATTCTGGATGCAACTCAGGGTAGGGGTGTGGTGGAATTAGAGAACAAGGGATCCACAATCAGATCTCTGGACTTCGAATACGTGATATTATGCTTATTGATCAGGTGATCATTTGGCCACTCCCTTGATTTTGTCCCCTCCCCCAAATTTAAAAACTCTCAGTCTATTACATTAACTATATCCAGCAAACTTGAACAGATAAGCAATGATTAACGGATTGAATGCAAGAGGCATATTTAGCAAGACCTTTAAAATTTGGCAAATTGATAGAAAAAAATTGAATTTTTCATTGCTCCGATAACAGTAATTCTTATGATTCTTTAATCTTTGCCTCAGGATGCTTTTGATAGAATGTCTGCAAAAGTAGAAGACGCAAGAGGAAAATGGCAGACACAGGCTTTAGAAACACAAGAAAAGAATAAACAGTTATTACTGGAGTTTGGACTCAACCCTTTAGAAATTTAACCAAAACTAGACTGTAGAAAATATTCTTGCCTTTCATCGATATTAACTATGCTTTCATCAATCTATATTTATTGGGTCCTTCATGAAACTCGCATTCAATACATACA